ATAGTGGTAGTATTTGTAATTATGTAGATATCAAAGAGAATGAGATGGGGTTGGGTTTGTGTTTGTGTTTGAAGTTCTCAAAAATGAATGTTAAAAACAATCACATGGAAAGGCATTTACGAAGTGGGCCTTTGGGTAGGACCATCAATGCACATGAAGAATTCAGGCTGTTTTTCATAACACCAATTTTGCCATTCTAAATTCTCCTCTGGGTTTTATCTTCCCTACATTTTCCTCATTATCCGCGATTTCCTATCTCTCTAGTCTCTACTATCCTTTCCTGTCGGACCTTCCCTTCCCTTTTCATTTTTTTATCCTTTTCCTCTGACATATAATTATATTTGTATCTGTCCTGGACTTCGTCATTTAATTGACTATATACAATGTTGTATATAGTCAATTAAATTGACTGTCATATTGTGTATATATACACGATTCAACTCTCTCGTCTAATATTACTCACTCCCAAGCCCGCTTACCAATCTCAAACAATATTAGAGACACCAAAAAGTTAATCATATCATGTGCTGGTTAGACTTTACAGTTTACACCATAAATCACATTAGAAGAATAATATTATTTAGTTAAAGAAATAATGGTTGAGATCACCGCCTTAATTAACAAACTAAAACGCCGGCAAATAATAATAATAATAAAGTGGAAGTAAAGAAAAGAAGAAAAGTCTGTATAACAATAAAATACAGGAATTTTAATATCTCATCAAAAAAAAAAAAAAAAAAAAAAAAAAACAAAGTGGAGAAAAAATAAATAAAGGAACTATGACACCTGGCAAAGCAGCCATGGCAATTTTTTTTTACGAGCTCAACTCTGAGTCGACCGATTCTCGACTAGTGGAGAGCCGGCCAGAATCTCGGTTCAGAGCCGTCATAGCTCGGACCTGCATCTCCAGAGCCGCATATAATCAGTCGCTTCTTCTAGGATATTCAAGCACGATATCTACGGCAACGGATCAACGGGCTAAGAACACGCAATTTTTTCTCAACAGCCGGTAACTTGCTGTTCCTGCTCTTTTGCTTCTTCAACTCCGCCTTCCGTTTCAACCTTCTGTAGCTGGTTTTGACTTTAACGTGTCTTTTTCTAAGTCTTAACAGAGCGGAGTGGCCAGAATCGCTCGACTCCACCGCGTCGTTCCCTTGGCAGAGACGGCCAAGACTCGGTCACAGTTTCCCGGATTTCTCGGCTTCGTCCGATGTTAGTGCGACGAACGTGGCGGATAGCTTGGAGAACTTTGAGGAGTAGATCTGTTGCTCTGTGTCGGTTCTCCATCGCTTGGTAGGTCGAAGCGATGCGTTTGGTTTCGACTATCATGATGATGGCGTGTCGTGAGCGATTGTTGTTCGTAGTGGTTGTTTAATCTCCGTCTCTTAGATTAGGTTCGACGGAGCAGTGTCGCAATCGGACTGATTATCGGAGAAAGACGGTTCCATAAAGACGACTGCACCAAGTTAGGTTTTGATTAGAATAGAATGTTGAATGGATTGGTTTTTTGAAGAAGACGAAGAGAGGAAGAAAGGAGAAGTTGTTATGTTGAGAGAGAAAGAAAGAGAGAGTTGAGAAATGGAGGGTGAGGAGGAACTCTCCAGTTGCATTGGTGGATTATTTTGATCATGATTGAAGTTAAACAGCAAACATGCACCCATCTTTTTTAATGTCGGATGAATACAGAATATCACTTTTGTATGATTTAAGGGTTTGTGGGATACTTGTGCTAATTTGTATCAATAGTGGAAAATTTACCTTGAATGATTATCACAAAGCAGAACATAATGGTGATGATTATCGCAAAAATGTTAACGGCTGAAGAAGATGCTCTATCAACCCTCCTCCGCTTCAATGCTTTTATTCGACCAATTCTTGCCTGCTTCTGTCTTGCAAGCTCAGAAATTTCTCTAACGAGCATCATGTCAGCCTCATCAAATGATGGGGATCCAGGAGGCCTAGGAGGTTTGGGAGGCTTATTAAAAGAGGATTTTTTCCCTTTCTCCACTATCATTTTCTTCTTCCCAAGACTCATTGCCTCCTCCCCAACCTCACTGTCCAATGACTCCATACTGTCACTAGAACCTAAAACATTCTTGTTCTTAACTAATCCATCGTCACCTTTCACATCTGCATTTGGACCCCTAACCACACTCTGCTCCCTCTTGGAGATTCTCTTTAAATGTCGACCATTACAGCCGAGCTCTTTACTTTTTTCATCATCTCCACTCATTTTCTTACCAATTTCCAAATCAGCAGCTGAATCACTTTCTGTACTTGAATCTACCCACATACCTAATCTCTTTAATTTTGCCTTCAACCTTCTAAAACAAACTAGCATAAATCACAAAATTTTCACCAACCCATTAGTACAACAACCAACTGAAAGCCCAATTTTGAGATAATCCTTGCCAAGAAACCATCACAACACACCAAATGCTTCAAGAAAACCCACAACAAATTTCAATTAGTCTATCACATCAATCAAATCAAAGATAATGTTCTTACACATACCCTTGCCGTAAACTCAACATATCGCACACACAGTACTGTCTCATAGCTTCAAAAAGTGATCTTTATGACATGAAATTCTTTTCTTCCCACAATTGGATACCAATTAACATAATATAACCAATAACAAAAACATTAAATTTTAGAAAAAGGTAAATAATCAATCTTAAACAATAACATGGATCATGAAAAACCCTTTCTAAAATGTTTAGACTGCACTTATTCTTCAACTGGAGTGTTAATATTCTTCAACTGTGCCTCCTTCTGGTTGCAGAGAAAATGCAAGAAACAGAGGGAATGCAGATTTTTAAACGTAAAAGTTTTCTCTTTTCAAACAACCGAGGCATGAATAAATCACACTGGCTTTCTGATTCCTTTTCCGCGATTATTTTCCCGGGAAACAAAGAAAAGGGTAATATGGAAATGACATCATAATGCACGTACCGTTCTTTGAAGGCAGAGAAATTGGAGAGAGAGCTCAACTCTGTAAACAAACAGAGCCAAAGCAGCGGGCCTTATGTGTACCGTTTTAAACCTCTTCTACAGAACCGCATTGTGGTCCAAACTTCTTCCACCAAACCGCATTGTCGGTTTTTTTTTATTTTATCAACTCTAATCTTTGATCTTAAGCTACAATACTCTGTTTCAGTTTTAGTTTCTGTTTCTGTCTTGTTGATAATGATATATTAGTATATTTAGCTAAAAAATGGGTGACCCTTTATTCTAAAATTTCAGCTAAATGCAAAAATAATGGTCAGTATTCCCCATGTATGATCTTTGGATAAAGACACCCAAATGGTTGGGGCGAATTAGAGATGGTTTGGATAAATGCACAATCACAAGTTCGATTTCTTATTGAAACATTCCCATTTAAGTGGGGGGTCCTGAGTCGTTATGGTGGATCCTGAGTCGTGATGGTGGATTGTTACGCTCCTCGTCCTATAAATTAACCTAGATTCAACTCTTATTCCAGCCTTCCATTAAATTTAGCAATCAAATGAAATTACAGATTTAAAATTATTCAAAAGCATCTATTTCTAAGTAACATTTATTAAACATATATGAACACAACATAATTAATCTTAAACTGTGTAATTAATCTTATCACTTGTTCCCAATAATAGAAGAGGGAGGTACAAGCTTCATGAACTGCATACTTCATTTCCTCACAAGTGAAAGCAGCAGTTCTCCAGTTAGGGATTAAATTAACTTGAAAAGATGATCTTGCTTGTTGGATTACATTTGACATGGTGTATCTACTAATTTAAGAATACTGGTAGTTGGATATAGAGGGCCTTTTCATTTACGGCATTGAAAATCTACCTTAATACAACCACCACCATTAATGGTTCATTGATTTTGGGCATTATCTAAGTTAAATATGTATATCAACTCTAAGAATACGTCCATATATAGTCGACAGAACAGATAAAAACACCTTATTCTTAATCCCTGTACCATCAAAACAAATATATATAGTCTCATCCCTTAGAAAACTCTGAAAGCGTAATGTCAGGGAATGAGTTCATGATTAACATTTCACAACATTCACTCACTAGATTCATCATTCCATCATCGAATGATTTTGAAACAAAGCCCTTAGTTAATGAATATCAAATTATTATATAAATATATACAGAAAACTGGAGAGCCTTTTATTGAATAATGGCGTTGAAGAACGCATGATTTTGAGCACTATCTGATGAACTTGTGTGTAATCCAACTACAATCTCAACCACCTTGTTCCCTATCATATAACATGTAGAAAGCCTCGTGAATAGCAAACTTCATCTCCTCATCTGTAAAAGCACTGCTTCCACAGGATCCAAGCAGCCAAGTCAACTCCAGACTTTAAGCATTCATTACCATAACGAATTAGGTAAGCATTGTTAAAGGTATTAACCTTGTTTCTAATTTCTCTGCCAGCAAAACCAACACTCTCGTCGGATAAACAGCCGGAGAAAAACCTCCCTACCCAACTCTACTAACCCAGATGCTTGGAGGTTGGCCTTCTTTAGTTGAGAAATTTTATCATCAAGCAACGCAGGATGATCGATTACACTTACCTTAAATTGAACACTTGAATTTCAACATCATATTTGCCCATTTTAAAGCGCAAATGAAGGGGTATCATCTCTACTGAGTTAACCGACTTTCAAAGATGATATATTCGTAGGAACTGGGAAATAGAAAGCCTTCTCATTAATGGCATCGTACAACTAAAAGTTTGTGCCTTTCCATTACTATAAAGCAGGGAATACGCAGAGTATCAATTTAGATGAAGAAGCTACTTAGCATTTAAAGGAGTTCAACTATATATATTTAAGATAGTTGTAATAGCTGTTAGTTTAATGTCTGAAGTCATACGAAAATATATGATTGAAGAGTACTGATATGCTTATTTTGGTGCCTGATGATCAGGGAGATAACAAGGATTGCAACCTGCAGATTCATACAATGCTTCATTTATATATGTTTATGTTTAGGCATCATTCATCAAGCATACCCAAAAGCTTGTTGCCAATAACATAACATGTATAAGCTTCATTAATGGCAAACATAATTTGCTCATTTGAGAAAGCTCTGCCACTCCAACTCGGAGGATTCCCATAAAATCCTGTAGAAACAGAATTCAAACCAGCTTCTCTAGCCAACTTTGCCACCCCAAATGAACTTATATGCGGCTTCTTCAGAATCCTGGCAGCCAAATGCCCCAGTTCAACCCCAGTTTTACATCGTAAATTATGCTTCCCAATACTCACATCTTTCCTACTCATTTCTGTCCCACAGAAACAAATGGTCTCATCACCCACAAACTTCTTCAGACTCTCAGGAATTGAGCCTAAATGGCCTAGCTGAATGACCAGGCAACGATTCCCCACACATAGAATTAGCATTTCAGCCTTTCTGGTGCTCCTGTGATTGAACTTAACGTCTAGGCCTGCAACTCGACGCTTCTGCAACAAGGTCTTGAATTCCAATATGCTGTTATCAATCAGAGCTGCATGATCAATAAGAGTAATCTTAAGTTTAACCCCTTGAATTTGTACTTCGTATTTACCCATTTTTGATAGAAAATGAATTGGGATCATGTCATTGTAAACCTTTATATATAAAGTACAGGACGGATGGTTCTATTTCTATATATAGGGAAGTAAGAGAACCCTTTCAATTTTGATTAATGCATTGAACATCTAAACGTTACCTAGTTCTATGAGATTTAATTATTAAAGGATCCCTTTAGTTCAGAAATACTATCATCGATCAAACCAACATGATCGATTAAACTGCCCTTATATTTAACACCATGAATTAATGTGCACTTCATATGTATACGGTATACCTACTGTTGATAGTACATGAATGGATATGAATATCATCCTAGCTTTTTCCGTTCAGAATTATATATTGATGCTTATTTAATAAAATCCAGGATGATTGTTCCTATATTTATATATAAAGAGAAACGTTTCAGATTTCATTAATGCATTGAACAACTAAAAGTCAGCTAGTTTGGTGAAATTTTATGAATCAAGATAGCTGGAGCAAGAGCAAAGTCTTAAATTGACGTCTAGGCCTGCAACAAGGTCTTGAATTCGGATATGAGTAGTGATGGCAATGGGCCCGGCCCAGGCCCAAGCCCGACCTCATAACAAAGACCCAAGCCCTGCCCGAGCCCGTCATAGGTATCACAAGTAAAGTCCAAGCCCTGCCTGACGGGCTTTTTATAACCTCAGGCCAGACCCAAGCCCGCCCATTTTTATAATGTGATTTTTTCAATATTAATAAATTTCAATTTTTTTTATATTTTTAATTCTATAAACAATTTTTAAATATTAATTTATTCTTGAATACTTACGAAATATATAAATAATTTTCTAGAAAGTGCATCCATCCATCCATGTAGGGTTTGGAAAAAATGACTATATATATAGAATAATCTTGTAATTAAATATATAGTATAAGGGTAATTTAGTATAATTAGTATAATTAATACTAAAATTATCGGGCTTAGCCAGGCTTGAAGACATACCCAGGTCTGGCTTGTACCTGAGGTCGAGCCTTAAAATCAGGCCCAAGCCCAAGCCTGCGAACATCAAGTAAAACCTGACTTTTTTGGAATAGGCTGGGCCGAATACCCAGAAATATCAGACCCATTGCCATCTCTAGATATGAGTAACCTTAAGTCTAACTCCTTGAATTTGTACTTCGTATTTACTCAATTGGGCCTTTATTTAATTTGGGCTAAGTTTGATTTATTATTTAGATCACTCAGTCCAAATTAAATTAAGTCCCACCAAAGTTCTTTCAAAATAATGTTTTAGACTTATAATTATCAAAAAAGAATTTTTTTTTTTTTAATACACTATGAATTAAAAAGGACTTTTTTTTTTCCCTAAATACCTTAAACATTACTGTTTACCACAGGGTATGTTTAAATTGAGTGCCAATGAACCAGGTTTTTGATAGAAAATGATTGGGATCATGTCCTCTTACACACGTGTGTATTAGCCTATATTTATAAAGTCATCTCCTTGTGCAATTGGAGATTATTAACCACTTCTAGTGGTCAGGTGAGACAATAAAGATTTTTGAATGTATTACTCAAGATGTCTTGAGTTTGATTTCTCTTGGATTCTAATATGGGTGGTCATTTGAGGGTTTATCTTGTCATGAACTTTAAATGCTCTAAGAATTAGTTAAAGTATGTATAAACTGATCTGAATATTCTGGTCGCTAAAAAAAAAAAAAAAAAAAAAAAAAATCATATGCAAGGTTCTATTCTGATAGTTGCAAGGGGGTTTTAGCCCATACATTTGGCGATCCAAATAAAAAAGGAATAATTAGGGGATGTACAAATAAGTGAAAAACATGTACAAATGGCAGAAGAAGACAGAAGGGCGAGTGAAAGAAAAGAACAAGTGAGAGAGGTGGTGTCACAATCTACAGAAAGCACCATATAAAAGGAACCACGTGTGGGAAGTGACAGATTGAGAGAAAAGATGTTGATAGTAATAATAATACAAATGTGTGCTGATTCCTAGTGCCACGACTTTCGTTTTCAATATATTATCCACCACATGTTATTAATTGATATAATAAAATATAGAGTAACATGTTTCCATTTGACATAAAATTTGTCTTCTTCCTATAAATGTATATGTATATATATGTCCAGTTTTGTGGGGGACGCAATTGGAATTGCTAACTCAAAAGTCGGTTCCTTTGTCTTCTCCTTTACCATTATTCATTGAATAATCGACATATTCCCACCAAAGTTGATAAAATCCTAAGTTGGTACCCATATTATATTTAATTCTAGATTCTCATTCTTAAAGTGATAAAAAAAATATTTGATGTAATAGTAAAAGGATAAATTGATCATTTTACATAGACAACACACATTAGCAGATGGCATTCCTAACATTTTTCATCCTTTTTTTAGTAATTCTTTCACCCAAAATCATCATTGTCACCACCATTTGAACCCCTATCCTCCCCTCTACAAAACCATACCTTTCACAACCCTTCATCACTCGAAGATCGTCAACCACGGTAGCCGCGACATATGACTAGTTTTTACCAGTTTTTGGCTGTTTTGAATGGCGACAACCCCAACCACCACCACCATTTGACTCCCCGCATCCTCCCTTACAAAACCCATAACCTTCCTAGCCACAACAGCTCACCGTTTGCTGTCCACCAATTCACCAAAAAACCGACCGATGAACATGAACTCTCAGCAGGCGAACGACGACTAAACGGTTGGTGGGGATATAAGGGTTTTATAGATTTGGAGACGGTGGTTGCAATGGTGGTGTCCAATTGGATTTTCACCGTTGGAATCGATCGAAATCCACGAAGAACAGCGGAACCCTAAGACTAATGACGTCGGCGATCGGAGTGGCCAATGAGTCGGGAACCAAAGGGGTTTTGGAGTTTGGACGACGGACTACGGGGAAGGTGATGGAGGTGATCAGGGGGTTCGATGCCGTTAGAAACAGCCCAGATTGAGTGTTTCCGATGAGGTGATTGGGTTGTTTCCGACGAGGGTGCGCAGTGACCGAGGGTGTTTTTGACATAATTTGAAAATCAAATGGTAAGTTATAGTTCAACTAATTTAGAGGTTAAAACATAATTTATTAATTTAGGGTTAAAGGCATTATGGTAATTGTACCCTCTAAACCCTTAAAATTGCTAACACTATTATTTTAAGGGTAGGAATCTGAAATAAATATAATCTAGGGTACCAACTTAGGATTTCATCAAACATTGGGTGGGAATATGTCCTTTACTCTTATTCATTTATTATTCTTCCATCTGTATACAATAGCACTCAGTTTCTTGTCTATTTATTGCATTGAAACTAAACCTTATCTATAGATACCTGAATATTGGGTAACCTAAAATAAAAACCATATGTATAGTACAGTAATTATTTTTTATTAACCAAACCCTAAATCCCACCTTAACATAGAGAAGATGAGAATAATATATGAAAATAATGGAGGAGGAAGAAGACATAAGATATTGGTAGCATTTGTGAGAAAACAACATGTGATGTGTATATGTCCTTCTAGAACAACACACGTGTTCCTATTTCTCACCAATTGCTATTTCTCTGCTGCCCATGGCTATATACTATTTATACACTCAACTAATTCGAGTCTTTTAGACTAATCTCTGTAAATGATTAGCACAACATCTCACCACTATAATCACATGTTTAAACCTTGAGAGTTAGGAGGATTCAAATCTGAGACTGTACGCCTTAACCATACATTACAGTGCTTTATCCTATCACTTGAACTATAACAAAGGGTGGGTATTAATTTGTTTGCTACACCTACACAGGCACATGCTATTTATATTTCTCTGCTGCCCATGGCTATATGCTATGTGTTCTCATTTAATTATATGGAGAAGTTTATATGTGTAGAAGCAAGAAGGATGTAGGTAACATTAATGGTGTGATTGTATTTGATAGTTATTGTAAACCAAACAAACCTAGCTCCTAGTTCATGAACCAACTTCTTTGTTTTCTATAAGAACCAACCCATCATCATGAATTAGAGGCGTAGCTAGGCAGTTAATTAATTAGGATGTGTAGTACACGAATTACTTAGAGCCTAACCTCATAGTTATGAGATGTGACAAATTAATAACTCACCCAATAAGGGAAGGGGAAAAAAGAAGGGGTTCATAAATGAAGGCACATGGATGCATGTGAAAATAAGGAGACACATATACAAAAACAAAATAAAAGTTATGAAATCTACATTAATTTATAAAACCCTTAAATCGAAAGAATCCTAGGGTTATTTCCTAGACAAATAAAGAAATGGGATTACAAGTGGATTCTAATTCAGGAATGAAAGAGGTGGGTATAGAGGGTACAATTGATAGATAGTGGTAGTATTTGTAATTATGTAGATATCAAAGAGAATGAGATGGGGTTGGGTTTGTGTTTGTGTTTGAAGTTCTCAAAAATGGAATGTTAAAAACAATCACATGGAAAGGCATTTACGAAGGTGGGGCCTTTGGGTAGGACCATCAATGCACATGAATGAATTCAGGCTGTTTTGTTCATAACACCAATTTTGCCATTTCTAAATTCTCCTCTGGGTTTTATCTTCCCTACATTTTCCTCATTATCCGCGATTTCCTATCTCTCTAGTCTCTACTATCCTTTCCTGTCGGACTCTTCCCTTCCCTTTTCATTTTTTTATCCTTTTCCTCTGACATATAATTATAAGTTGTATCTGTCCTGGACTTCGTCAATTTAATTGACTATATACAATGTTGTATATAGTCAATTAAATTGACTGTCATATTGTGTATATATACACGATTCAACTCTCTCGATCTAATATTACTCACTCCCAAGCCCGCTTACCAATCTCAAACAATTATTAGAGACACCAAAAAGTTAATCATATCATGTGCTGGTTTAGACTTTACAGTTTACACCATAAATCACATTAGAAGAATAATATTATTTTAGTTAAAGAAATAATGGTTGAGATCACCGCCTTAATTAACAAACTAAAACGCCGGCCAAATAATAATAATAATAATAAAGTGGAAGTAAAGAAAAGAAGAAAAAGTCATGTATACAATAAAATACAGGAATTTTAAATATCTCATAAAAAAAAAAAACAAAGTTGAGAAAAAATAAATAAAGGAACTAATGACACCTGGCAAAGCAAGCCATGGCAATTTTTTTTTTACGAGCTCAACTCTGAGTCGAGCCGATTCTCGACTGGTGGAGCGCCGGCCAGAATCTCGGTCAGAGCCGTCATAGCTCGGACCTGCATCTCCAGAGCCGCTATATAATCAGTCGCTTCTTCTAGGATATTCAAGCACGATATCTTACGGCAACCGGGAATCAACTGGCTAAGAACACGCAATTTTTTCTCAACAGCCGGTAACTTGCTGTTTCTGCTCTTTTGCTTCTTCAACTCCGCCTTCCGTTTCAACCTTCTGTAGCTGGTTTTGACTTTAACATGTCGTTTTGTAAGTCTTAAACAGAGCGGAGTGGCCAGAATCGCTCGACTCCACCGCGTCGTTCCCTTGGCAGAGACGGCCAAGACTCGGTCAGCAGTTTCGCGGATTTCTCGGCTTCGTCCGATGTTAGTGCGACGAACGTGGCGGATAGCTTGGAGAAGCTTTGAGGAGTAGATCTGTTGCTCTGTGTCGGTTCTCCATCGCTTGGTAGGTCGAAGCGATGCGTTTTGGTTTCGACTATCATGATGATGGCGTGTCGTGAGCGATTGTTGTTCGTAGTGGTTGTTTAATCTCCGTCTCTTAGGATTAGGTTCGACGGAGCAGGTGTCGCAATCGGACTGATTATCGGAGAAAGACGGTTCCATAAAGACGACTGCACCAAGTTAGGTTTTGATTAGAATAGAATGTTGAATGGATTGGTTTTTTGAAGAAGACGAAGAAGAGGAAGAGAAGGAGAAGTTGGTTATGTTGAGAGAGAAAGAAAGAGAGAGTTGAGAAATGGAGGGGTGAGGAGACTTTTTAAATCAAAGTCACGGGATACACGCGTCCTTCTTTGCCTATTCTCATTTATTACTTTTTTGTTTTCACCTCACTTGTTTATTATTATTATAAAAACTTTAGACTATAATTTGTAAGACATATGTAACCAATTAATTCTTGTATTATTATAATTAAAGGTAAAATTAAAATATAATTAACTTTAGGTTAATAACATATACTTTATATTAATATACGTTGATTCATAATTAAATTAATCCTTAACTAGACCGGTTCAATTAATCCCTAGATTCCAAATTAAAATTAATCCCTAGATTATAGAGAATTTAAACGTTTTATCAATAAAAACAATAAAAATAGCAGCAATCACATGTTTTTACAACGTGGGATTTAAATAATATTACCCAATAGTGTTATTATTTCATATAAAAAGTTTAAAAAATTCAATATTTTGATTGGTCCGGGTGGACAACTTGCCAATTTTTTAAAATAATTTTATTTATTTATTTTTTAAATTGAATGTATTCATTTCACGAATTGATTGGCATGTGTATGATGAATAATGCTACAATTATTGAAAGAAATACACTGAATTCATGCATCGAATGATGTGACGTAATCTGACCGTTGATTAATATTAATTCATAATGAATCGACAGTCAAGATTGTGTTACGTCATTCGATGCATAAATTTGGTACACTACTTTTGGTAACTGTATTATTTTTCGTGTATGATATTCATACTTCATTTAATTACCTTCTTCCACTATCCCCATATTAAATATTTTTACCATAAAATAAATTCTTGTTAAAGCATGCCATAAAGTTTGATCAATAAACTTTACTTTTGACTAATCAATGATTGTTTTAATTAATTTCATATTATTATTATTATTATTATTTACGCAAAGGTATAATTAGGTGAGCAAACAATTTATAAATTCTAATTAATTTAATAAAACATGCTTAAGAATTAAATTAAGTTAACATCAAATTAGATAACCCATTAACATCATCCAAATATTAATTAAGTTGTTATTTATATAAATAGATATCTCAAATCAAATGGGATTGAAGAGGCAAGAAGCAAAAGTGTCGTATTATAAGGAGAAAAACATGTCACAGGAGCTGTCTCCTTATCTTGTCTTGCAAGGCCGGTCTCTTTTGTATAATATTTTATTTAATTTAATAATTAGTGGGTTAATTAAACTTGATTTAATGTTAATTAAGTGGTGATTAGATGTGTTGGCCTCCACTTGTTGTGGGCCAAATTTTTCATTTGTTTTTATTCACAAGAATGGTTAGTGGGTGTCATGTGATTTCAATTTCTTTTTATTTAAATTTATCATTTACATTCAACAATTTATCCGATATTTATCCACATTCGATAAAATTTGTATTTAACAGATATGAATAAATATATGTGATTAGATTTCCTCCTCTTTTGAACTAACTTTTTGGGAGTAAGTTCTAACTAACCCCATTTGTCATGCCACGTTTGTTTTGGGGCGATGATGAATTTGAACCTTGACAATGTTAAAAGTTGTATTCTTCTATGTGGTGGGGCGATGATGGGTTTTGGACTTTGACGGTATTATAAGTTGTATTCTTCTATATAGTTGGACTTCTTTTTTCTTTGAGTTAGTTTTTAAGCTTAGGTTCTATCCAAACCCGTTTATCAAACATTTTTTTTTTATCAACGTGAAAAATGTTTGTTTTTGGTACCAATAAGTTCTAACTAATCTCATTTGTCATGCCACGTTTGTTTGGGGGGGATGATGGATTTGGACATTGACAGTGTTAGAAGTTGTATTCTTTTATGTGGTGGAGCGATGATGGGTTTTGGACTCTGATGGTGTTATAAGTTGTATTCTTCTATACGAGTTCTATCCAAACCCGTTTATCAAACATTTTTCTTGTTATCAACATGAAAAATGTTTGTTTTTGGTACCTCCTTGCATGAGACAAGCCTAAATGTTTGTCATAGATTGCTTCTCTAATTCTTAAACTTATCTTGGACAGACATCAGTTTTACTCTTTACTATTTTAATACTACTACTTGTTCCTTTCTGCATCCAAGATTTTCTGCTCTCAGTTTCAGATTTACTTAATTTAATCAAAACTTAGTTATCTCACTTATTCAACTTGTGTTAATTAAATTTAAACCCTAAAGTTTGGATAATATTCCAACTTATCTTTATCATGTGAGACAATATAAGTCAATTAATGTTGGTCCATTGCTCCCCAACATGGGGTCTTCAATTAAATAAAGATTTTGTTTTAATTTTAAATTATAGTATTACACTATAATTTCATCATTACTTTACTATATATTATTAATATTTGAGTTTGACAACCAAACCCCTCTCTTTTGTATCATTTGTCACGGACCTTTCATTTGACTCTACTAAATTAATTAATTAATTAATTTATCACATACCATTTTCCATCATCTAGAAGCCTTACACATGTTAGTAAAACCACATGACCAACCACTTCAATCCCATTAACCCATTTTTCCAGTATCATTTTAGGGAGAACGACTCACACATATCCAAGATTTACTGTATAGATATTAGATAAAGTGGTACCTAAAAGGTTTGAAAATGATAAACACACACTTTCCGTCATATTCTATTATAAATTTCCATCTGCTAAAAGACAAAAATGGTGAAAAGACTAAAATACCCACCGATCTCCATTCTTAACACGCGCCAGCAAGGGCTAGTGCCACTGTTTATCACCGAACTTCACAGAAAAATGTTAAATCAGGTCAAAAAATCGATCGATGACATGAGAGGGCTGTGCAAACGGGCTTGGGGTGAGAATTGATACGGAGAAAAAGATTTAAAAGTTAAAAATTTTGTGACTGTAGATGAAATTACTATACTGTCTTTTAGCACACAGAAATCCCTAACAAAATATGACAAAAAGTATTTATTTGTCATTTCCAAACCTTTTGAGTATCAATCTGTCTTTATGCCAAACTTTGGGTAGGTGAAAGTCGTTCGGCCTATCATTTTATCCCAAAGGTATTGTCCGCTTTAGGCTATAGGGTCTACATAATTTTATCTTGAAAAAACACCTCTGAATGGTGAGGATGTCCTTGTGTTATATAAGTGACCAATACCCTCGTTTCCTAATCAATGTAAAACTTTGGCACCAACACTATTTATGTAAAATTGACAACCGAATGCTTTTCATTAGAGTAGGGCAAAGTTTGTCTTGGTAACATTAGAATTGACAATTAACCGTCGTTTGTCATGGTGGGATGAAGATGTAAACTTTAAGATACGTGCATCAACCTTATAATACACGCACTATTTAATTAGGACTTGCACAATAACGGAAAATTGAAATTACGATAGAATATGTCTGAATTTATAATTCACACTTTACTGTCTTTCATCAGTTTAAGATGAAGATGCAAAATCCGAACACATGTATCTACCCCATAGTACATGTACTATTTAGTGCGATTACACAATCATAGTGAATGAATCTACGACAGAACCATGAGTCTAAAATTTACAGTTCAAACTTTAAAATTCTCTCTCTGTTTTTAACTAGTATGACAGTGAATGAAGCTACGACAAAATAATAGTCTAAATTTTTTAGTCCACAGTTTAAGAATCTCTTCTCTTTAACCAGTGAAAACCAGATGAAGAACAAGTCAAGAGCATGGAGCAAATACAAAGTGAAAGTGCAGTAAACATGCAGGCAGAAATGTTGGCTCCTGCCGGCAAAGAGATTTGGTGGAACTAACGCGTTTTAAGCAGTCAACTACTACTTTATCACATGATTTAGATAAAGCTATTGATTCTATGTATTTATATATTTGTCTGCTATGCATGTAGGGAGCTAACTTGCATTATAAAATCAATAAACAAACCATCACAAGTTTCATATAATTGACAGCAACATCATTATCTAGCCAATAAAGACGAGTTCGCACGAGTGAGTTTCTGCTTGCCTTGATGAGCAATCTATTCCTTTGCTTATCCTAAACACAATCACATGTTCATGATCATAATTAATTAATCACATTACAGGTTGTAAAAGACTTATTAAAAGTTTCATGGCGGGGCCTGCATTTGCCTTGCCTTCCTCAGAAACTATGACAAATTCTTCATTTGAATACCAATAATTAGAGTTAAAAGAAGCTGGTGGGTCTGCTCTTAAAAGCCCTTGTGGGGTTGTCAACTTGAATAAATTTATTTGATTTCATTGTGATGAATTAAATATGAAATTTATATGACAAGGTGGTGTGAGTAAAGAAAACTATATAGGAAGCTTCAAGTTGGTTATATAAAGTGCTTTCGGAGGCTGCAGCTGGAAGCTGTAAACCACCTGTTGAAATTTGGGCTTAATGGCATAAGCAAGAGTAATTTCTGCTGGGGTTGAGTCTGGAACTTCATTTTGGAAGGGTACCTCAAACAAAGGATTGTACAGGCACATTCATTCTTTACAGAAAGACTGTAAAACATGGCAAATACACCCACAAAATAGTTAATAAGCTGCAGAGTTAGTGTGAATTATTTTAACTTCTTTCGAGCGCATCTTAATGCTATTATAATCTGCATAGCCAAATATCAATCTGATCTAAGAACATTGAAATTTTGGTGTTACATGTGTTTGATATTTTTAACCTTAAATTGACTTACTATGCAATGGTGTTTCAATCAACCCACTGACACTTCAGGCCCTAGATCTAGATCTTGGTGTTTTCTCATTCAAACAGCAAGTCCCAAAAACCTTTAATATGTCCAATGAGTGAACAACATAAATTGAGAACATTAGTGAGGACCCTGAAATTTTGGGCCATGAGCCTGCAGTGTCACGATGGTGAACTAGACCGCAATCACATGGTTTTACTTGTCATAAAGACATTCATTCAAACAATTTTGACTTGTGGGGGCAATTTGAATTATAGAGTACAGAAAAGTGGCATACCTTGAACTTATTCTACCCGTTGAAGCTGATGAGGAGAGTCTCCTAAAGTGAAGTACTGCTGATCCTTCTGGACTAGATTTCCATCCAAGGGATCAACAGCCACAGGATTCTCAGGTTCATATCGAAGCTGAATTTACTAAGTGCTTCCTGCATTTGTAGTCATAAAGCAAAGAATATAAGGTCAAAAATAAATGAAAACTTGAAGCCTTCAGTGACTTAGACCAATGTACCTTTGAGAAATGGTACTCTCAGGCAAAGAAATTTAATTCGGGTTGCCTTCATTGGACACGACACCATCAACAACAATGGTCTGAGTGTCAGCTGATGATCGCCTCCTGAGGCGTTTTGGAGATTGGATTTGGGTGCAGGAGGCTGAACTCCTTTTAGCTCTAAAGTAAGAAGTTTAGGCTCTTTCTTGTTCAAGTCTAGGTATCTGATGAACATATGTTTGTATCAGAGTATGAGAAGCTTTCCTGAAAATTGAACAAGAAACACTTTTAATAAGTACTTATGCAAAGGCACAGCAAGTTACAATCAGTACAATTCATATCAATTTTGATAACTGTTTGAGCAATGAAACAGAGAAGATAGTATCACCGTTTTCTACTTCGATGATTCCTGATGGCTCCGAAAGCTGAAGAAAATAGTAAATGCACAAAAAGTGAAATTTCAGGCCGTCATAAAAATCAGGAATAGTGATCTAGTTTACTTGGAGAGTGATCTAAACATCCTCAACTTTCATTTGTGTTCATTAGGTTAACAAGGATGAAAGAGCTTCATTGTAATAATTCAAGAGATGTAATTGTAACAGAATTTAAAATATGACATGGTACTTGGATTATGAATTCTCACATTTTAATCTAATCACACATAACAACTCAGAAATAGCATTATGAACTAATGAAAGAAACTCATTTTCAGTGCATCTGAAATTCCATATGGCAGGTAACAAGGCATTGCCTTTCCATTTGCAACTTGTTGCTAGATAGTGATACAACAAAAATGTATAACTAGTTCTCACAGTAGATGCATGTAACTCATATAGGCAAACTTTTTTTCTTTTTGAAATTAAAATTCCTTCAAAGCAACATATACTGAATTCTCAGCCACCAGTATGAGCAGAATTCAGTAAGAAGGACAAATTATTTTTCTAACCTGAGCTGCTAGGGCTGTTCCATCCTTGAAACCAGCTTTCCCAGTCCCTGCTAGGGTACTGACCTTTTTACTAGCTGGATCCAGCTTCTTGATCTGAAATTTCACCCAAAAAAGAGATGAAAATCAAGAAGTTAGCTTTGCTTGAGCTATAATACACATTCATTTTATCAGTTATGTGATCAACTCTCAACAGGAGCCCCCAAGTAATGCATCATGAGCATTCATGAAGCTTTAAATTTATCATCAGAACGTTCAGCAAATGTCAGCAGGCTACAGTGATTTAAATATCTTTAATATCTTCATCTATTAGCTAATTACCTTGTGATTGTAGCTATCTGCAATATAAATTTGACCATCCTTGGCACAAAAGACACCTAGTGGATGTTGAAGAAGGACTTCAGATCCTGTTCCATCATGGTCTCCAAACTGTAAATCATACATTGTAAGAGTATTAGGAGAAAAAGACAAAATGACATAAACTACATATGAAGTGTAAGTCTTATCCAATTTTTGTTAAAAAAATTTATTAGGGACCAAAATATTTTTCAAGATGAAACATGCTTCTTAATTTTTAAACTGAATTACCTTGAACAAATTGTCTGAGAAAAAAGGATCACCACCAACTAGCAATCTTGATCCTCCTGTTTTTAGACTGAGTGCTCGTATGGAGCTACTCTCACTATCCGCAACATAAATTTCTGTGAAATCTACAAATAAACATCCATTTGAAACTTCAGATATGCTGACAGAAACATTTAGACTATTATAAAAGAGTTGAGAGTATGAAATATGTCAAAATAGCCCAGCATATTACCAGGAGATAATGAAATTCCAGACGGTTGTGCAAATGATGTGGTTGTAGAGCTACCTCAACAAAAAATCAGTACATTAATGCCAAAAAACATAAATATAAATGAATAAAAAATTGAAATTAAGACAAATGATGCTCTAGTATAACATATTTGATGAGTGCAAACAAATAGATAGACATAATTATATGGATCTTTTCAGGAGCTATAAACATTTAACAGGGCAGTTGCCATGCTAACTGACGTTCTGTCATTTCTCAATACAAGCTCATCCAAGTTCAGCCTGGACTTCAAACTGATCAAACTTTTCTTTATCACCTTTAACCTTTTTCTTTCTTATCAACCTAAAGGTTCCAATTTGGAGCACAAATATCCAAAAAGATTTTATATGTGAAGTACGAACATGTAAAAGAAAAAGGAATCAACTGATCACTTTACTGATTCTTTGAATTACCTTGATCCATTCAAGTTCCTTTCATAACCATCGCCACTAAAAGCTTTTGGTAACTCCATCAACTGTATTGTGTTCCCAGGTCTGATGTTGGCCACCCATTGCAATGTAAACCTTCTCGTTTACTAGCTCAAAACAGACATCCCATGGAGAATTGAGGAGCTGAAAAAAATGAAGTAAAATTTTTACATATCAAGAAAGATGTCAATTCAGTAAATAAAGGGGCCAAATTTCTTTATAAGAACACTAAGAACGCAACCAGAATATGCATCATTAATTCATGTTATCCAATCTTGCCTGAGAGCTACCCTTGTCTCCCCCTTGGTAGTCAGAGCCTTTGGTTCCATTTCCAGCAAGAGTTTGCACCTTTTCATTAACAAAATCAATCTCCCTACAATACATGCATTGAAACTATTGAAACCTTTTCATGAAAGATAATAAAGATGATGCTAGTAATGTAATTCCTTTGTGACCTAATCTTAAGGTTAAAATCAAAACGTTTGAACATGGTTTTCTATTCTTTTTTGTCTGAGAAAACCATGAATACGTCTTGGGGAACTATGCTAAATGTAACACAACACCATTGAAAAAAACAAGGTCACCTTTCAGCAAAATCGGAAATAGAACCTAAAAAGGCTTCGAAACAATTTAAGGATAGTTTTCTACCCACGACATACCTCAAAGCATGGTTTTCAGTATCTGCAACATAAAGGATGTTTTTCTTCGCATTGTAAGCTAGGCCCTAGAGAAGCATGTGGCCACAATGTTACTACTCAGTACTAATTGATCCACATAAAAATTGAAGCATGAGATAACAAAGCTTGAAATGCATGCATCTATTCATCTATATTGATTATAACTGGAGCTATTAACTTAATCCTTACTTGAGGACGATTAAAGGTGGCCTCTTCGAAGGATCCATCACGTAGACCTTCCTCTCCTGAGCTACCGATTTGGACCATAAAATTCCCACCTAGATCAGTTACCACCTGAAGTCCAAATGTGACAAGATTGTTAAATAACAATCCAAGTATTTACACATGCTATTCATTACAGGATAAGGAAATATTGGATTCATACTGATTATATGTTATTCATTACACAGTGGATTATCATGAGTATTGAGTAGTACTTACAAACATGTAATCTACATACCATCATCAAGCTTTAAATATGCAAGAACAATTTGAAGCTGCATATTGTTGCATAATGAGCACATTTAAGAATTCTTAAATTCTTAGGATTTCAGATGCTTCTAACTACCAAATTCTGAGTACTACTAAGAGAAATATACATATAAAATACAAGTCTACAAGTGTATTTTGTTCAGAGAGAGAAAGAAAGAGAGCCTACTATTCTGTTATGATTACTGTCTGAGATGAAGAGCCGGTTGTTGAGGATATCAATCGCTAGCTTACCGGGAAACTTCAAAGGAGATGTGAGTAAGCGAGGATCATTATCTTTCTCCAAAGTCACAGGAAGTGGTGTATTGTCAAGGAGTTTCTTCCCACCATAAAACAGAAGAGCTGCCTCAACTAAATCATCAAGATCCTTATGAAAAAAGAAAAACTTTTTCAATTTTCTTTCTTAGAATGTACCATTTTCTAGCAAGTTTAAGTTATTAGAACTTGACAAAAATAATTATATCAAAAGTCTATGGTTGAAGATAATCCTCAGAATTTCAGTTCATAATAAAGTATTAGCTAGAGCAACTCTAAACTCATCTTGCATAAGGACAGAGCAGGGTGCCACACGATTGTCCATTTCCTTAAACAATCCAACTACTTTGTGTATTTTTCATATACCAGAAAGTACAGTGCTCAACTTTAACATACTCATAGGAAAATTAGAAGTGAATAATCAGTACCTTTCGATGTCCTTCGCCAGCTAGTTGTGCTAGGATCTTACCATTGGGCCCAACAATGGCAAATGTAGGCCATGAATTTACACCTAACTCTCTCCATAAATACATGTCTCCATCATTGACAACCTAAATCAAGAATTGGCCAAAGAAACATCAAGCTCCATTATGTACTAACAGTACAAGAAAATGAAGACACAAAAGTAATGAACAAAAATGTTCAAATTCGTACATGANAATTATCATTCATGACAAGACTCCACATGGTTTTCTAGAAGAAGAAATTCCATAAAACAGTTATTGAATTAGATAAGAACTCCAATGTCTATAGTAGCATCATGAAATAGATGAAAATCATTTAGAAGTAGTTTATCAGAATCAGAAAGAAGCTGACAAGAAAGTTATTTAAAAGCCAGAAATATACTTATAAATGAATATTCTCTAATTTGTATCTTAGTATAGTAAAATTCATAAGTTAATATGAGTTATTGATAGTTTAGAAATTTTCAAGTGTGTTCGGCTACACAAGTAGTAAAACACAATCAACCAAGATGAATGTGTTAAAGCATCAATATAGAGGGGAACTTCTTATGAGAATGTAGAGGAAAAATAATACCTGCTCTTCCCTTTTGGCTTTTGCTTCTCTCTCTACTTCCTCTTCTGCAGCCTTCAGTTCAGATACATACTCATTGAATATAACTTCTCTATCTTCATGCTTAACAGATCTGTATCTTGGATCATTCCTTAGACTCTCCTTCACCTACAAGGATTCAGTAGAATGTTGTAATAATTTTAAAATGTATGCTAGAAAGCAAGCTGTTCCAGACATATTAAGTTGGACCAAAAAACTACCTCATTAAAAACTTGGTATTTAGAATCTTTATTAAAGTATGCTACCTCAGCACAAAGTATGAAATTGTTCTAACTCATTCATAAAAGAGGAAAAGCTAATTGATTGATCAAAACATTTCCATTAACCAACTTTTTATAAACAGTGTAGAATAGCACCACCTTCCATCCACCACCTCATAACCAAGTAATATATCCCAAAAGATACGGTGATCATATTTGCCAACCTAAAGTATACACATAAATCTAGGTTTTCTTGTACAGCTATATTTCCACCACTTAGAGCTAAAATATTAACTCTTAAAGACCCATTCCTTCATCCAATGCTAGCTTCTACCTCAATTAATCACATTAAATAACAAACTTTCCCAAAGGTTGGTGCAAGAGGAATTGATTCTTAGACCATCCACTCTCCCGTTAGAATTTAATTAGGTAGGCTATCTTCTAGGGAATAAAACCTAGTTGTACCCATCACAAAAACCCTTGGAGTTGATCACTAAAACAGTCTTGATGCCNTATTAAAGAAATAGAGAAATCAAGAGAGTTGCATTTTCAAAAATTCAGCTACAGTGAGAAGCAACAGAATATACAGACTGAAAACAAAAGAAAATCAAGAAAAAAAAAATCCAGAAACATGGCACCTGTGCTTCAAATTTATCATTTCTATAACAATGGGTAGAACACAAGGCATCAGACTTTGCCATCTTCAAACTCAAATGTGCTCCTGGTATGCCAAACTGAATTTTCTATTGACAAATTGACAGATTTTCATTCATGAAGATATCATCCTCAAAATTTACAAAACAGTAATACTTAACTCATCACATAGCACACCATTATTTCACCTATCTTCATGGTTTTGCTATTGCAAACTCAAATGTACAAATATATGTTCAATAGCGTAGTAAGCCATAAAAAGAACACATATAAAAGCATACTTCTCCATCTGAAGGTTTTTAAAATCTACTTACAACTTAGGAGATGAATAGATAACCACAAAAACAAGAAAATGTTGGCGAGAGTAAAAGTAATAAGTCTAAACTACAAAGATGAAATCAAATGCCAATCCCTCACCAGTTCCTGACGAAGCTTGTTATTTTGTTGAATTGCATTATTTTTTTCCTCGGTCAGTTTTGAAATAAGAGCTCTTGCCTGAAATTTACAAATTACTGTTAGCAGTAATATAATTACCACTTCATAAACTCTTTTAGTACAACATGGTAAAAATGTGTATTACATGGTGCTAAAAGAGCTTGCTGTATAAGCAAGTAAATGTGCGCAACAAGAAAAGAAAATGTCTCAACATTAAAAGATTAAAGGAAACTGCTGCTGCACTTTACTATCATAAACAAAAAACAAATCAACATTAAGGATAACACTCCCAAGTTAAGGAGATGACCTCTGACTTTTCAGTTTGTAATTAAGCTACTCAAATGAGCACAAGAAGAATTCCCTAGTGCAGATACCATAATATGGCGTTCAAAATCATTGAAAAAGAACAGATGAAGAACCAAAACTTAGTCTAATACACTTACTTTTATAAAAACAATACAAATCAACATTAAGGATAAGAGACACAAATTAAAGAAATGGCCTCTGATACTTCAATTATTAATTAAGCTACATATATGAGCGCAAAAAGAATTCCAAGTCTTGATACCATGTTAAGGGCTTCACCATCGTTTAATAAAAAAATTATGAAGAAGTAAAACTCAGTCTGATAGCAAGCACCAAAAAAGGGTGTTTAGCCTCTGAAACTAAGAAGTTTTCTAATAGAACAGCCAATAAAATTGGCATCATTTATGATATATCCACTTCCTGGGTTCCACTTGCAAGCAACATGATTAAGTAGAAAAAATTTCTTCGATTTTGAGTTAATGAAGTTAAATCCTAACAGTGCACCAAAATTATCAGCAAACAACTATATATTAAGGCATTCTGGAGAAGAAGATATCAAGTAACAGAAACCTTGTAAACAGGTCGGTTCCCAGCAGGAGATATTCGGCCCTCAACCCTTTTTCCAGGCAGAAGAAGCTGAAGGGCGGCCTTAAATGCTGCATAACAAGCAATTATTTTCCAAGCCGTAACAGTGGGTCTTGGCCATATATCTACAAATCCTTGCAGCCCACGGTGGTGGCAGACAAGGAGTCACGAATGACGGCAGCGAGCGGTGGTGGAAGACAATAGATTTAGGGGAAAAAGAGAGTTTGACGTTTTGATTTTGTTTTGGGAGAGAGACTAGATTTAGGGGGAACTGAAATTTTGAGTTTTTTTGTTTTAATATTTATTTTTTATAATTTGGGGAAATTAGGTGGCAATTTAGTGAGGTGGCAGTTTAGTGAGGTGGCAGATGATGTGGCAGTTTGTCATGTCATGATGTGAGAGAGTGATGTAAGAAACTGATATAAAGGTAGTGTTACTAGTTTAATAGTGGGCTCACCTAACCTAATTAAGAGTAATGCTACATTTACACCACCCATTACACTATTTTCATTACACCATAATGTGGCATCTGCCACATCCACATAAATTTTTAATTATTTTAAATTTTTAATATTATAATAAAATAATTATTAGTAAAATGGTCATGGTGTAATGAAAATGATGTAATGGGTGGACATTAAAGTTAAAGAACAAATAAAAAGAAATGAGAAATATTAAAGAAGTTCAAATTTGAATTTTTATTTAAAGAAGTGTAAAAAGATAAAAGAAGAGAAGGTTGTTGCGATGGGAAACCTGTGAGTGACATAGCTTCCAAATCCATGCCTCAACCGAATCCAATCAACAAGAAAAAAAGAAAAGGAAAGAAAGAATAGAAAGAAAGAAAGAAATAATAGAAAGAAAAGAAAGAATAGAAAGGAAGAAAGGAAGCATAGAAAGAAATACAGAGAAAAGAAACAGAAAACAGAATAAGAAAAATAGAAAAACATAAAAGAAAATGCACATCCTATGCATTTGTGAATTAGCATCATACCTATGCATGATACCATGCCTACTATCATGAGTAGTGAGAAATTAGAAATAGAGAAAGAACAAAGAAGAATAGCGAAGTGTGATGTAAGGAAAGAAATTCATAATATGAGCAACGGAGATAGAAGAGTAGCATAGCAGGTTTATTTACTGAGCAATTAGTACTCATCCCGTTGTTTTTAATGTTTTTGCAGGTAGTAGATGAGATGCGGTCGCTTGGAACGTCAAGAAGCGGAAGGGTTTGGCAACACTGTCGAGTTGTTGTTTTGTGACTAAATTATATTATATAAAGATTTGTCTATAAAGAAAAATTAGATATGGACCCATTATTTTATACTCATCTACATGTATATTTTCTTATATATATTTAGTGACTTTTACTATTAATTTACGAGTATACTAACTAGAGAGAGAAAGTATTACATCTAATGCCTCAAATCGTGGATCACTGCCCCATTTCTTTCTGAATGTCTGATAATCAGTGTTGTAGTCAATATCCTGAAAATGAAAATATGCTCAATAAACCACCTCCGGCTCGCAGTCCTATATTTATACAACTTAGTTATAATTGCTATTAAAGTAAACATTAGCAAAATAAGAAAGCACTTGAATTCAATATAAGCTCTGAAACCTCTAATGCTTCTTCAAGTAACTGCTTGAATCCCCCTATTGCAGCCTTCTGAGCTGTTATTTTTCCTTACCTTTCTCCTCAGCACATGTCTTAACATAGGTTCAAACAAGGCCCTCCCGACCGATTGACTTGGGATGGCCTACAACCGAAAATGCCTTTCCCAATCAGCAAAGCAGCAAACTCATCACAGTATGAATGAGAAATATTCCCATCTAGCACAATATACATAGACTGCAGTATGCATGAAAAAAAAATCAAATTTGAAATAAACACAGACACAGAGAAATAAAAAAAGGAGTCGCAGTATAAATGAACTTGAAAGTTCAGTGCATAATAAACACACCATCCCGAGCCTAGTCATATTTAACAGGATAGACTAAAAGATCATAAGCCTAAACCACTAAAAAGTATACCCAAAAGATGAGGCACGGGTATAGACAAAGGATATAAGTAGAAAATGCTATGAATAACATTAATTCCATGGTTGTCAAAAATTAAAATATGATACAACAAGAACAATATACACCAACTTAAGAACTATAAAAACAAACAAATACCAACTTAAGCAAAAGTATTTCACAAGTATTGATGGTGAGACAAAACAAACCTCAGATATAAACATAGTCAACTCATCACAAGTGAGCAACTTACATTAGCCTAATAAGCCAAACTTATCACGGTAATATTAAAGCATGAACAACCAACCCACGAGCAACTTACATTGACCAAACAAATCAACAGCCATGTAGGTTGGGTTGCATAACATTAAAACATGAAGAACTAAACCAAACAATAAGTTGGGTTTCAAATTCTCTTTCAGGGTTAAGTTTCCCAGAAGCGATCTGTTCGTTAAGTAATAACCTAAGGCTGCATGTTTGAGCCTGGGTTTTTAGAGCTCAGTACATTTGTCATGAATCGAGCTAGAACATTGAGACGTCCGGCTCAGCTCGGCTCGACTCGGCTTGGCTCGTATACAACCCTACTATCTACTACAAACCTAAAACTCAAAAATTCTAGAATTGCCTCTTAAAGGAAGACAGAAATATTTCATAGGCAAATTCGTAATATCACATCCAAAGCTACTAACCAAAGATGCAATATTACTTTTTTGATATAAAACAAAAAGTTATATTAGTCGAAAGAGAGAAGTAGAAACTGGACTAGATATCTACTAAGTGTGAGATCACCCTGTGGTAAAAGGCCTCCAATTCTCAAACAAAATATTCAAAATCTTTAGACTCGGCAGACCTTAAAACGGGGATCAAATACATTCTTTGGAAGTTCCTTCTCCCATTTTGAGAATGGTGCCACTCCTCTTTCCTTAAGCATTTCCTGTAAAATTTTCATTGGCATGTTAAACAAATAGTTAATGAAACTAGCATTTCTCTCAAGCTACATTTGAAGTTGCATCGAAAAAAATATTAACAGCAGTAGCAGACAATATCATTCATAAAATATACGTATTTAATACAAGAAATAACACAGGAAAAATTATAAATTTTATTTATATATGAATCTATGAGACAAACACTGGAATTCCAAAAGGAAGGACAGTAAAAAACACCAACTCAAATTATTATACTGAAGGAAATTTTAACAAAATAAGAGCAATAAAGATACCTTAAATTTAGTAATGCAATCCTCCTTTGATGGTCCACTATCTTCATCCTTTGAATCTGAAGAAGAGTCAGACATGTTTACTGTCACCATTAGCATCTTTCAACTTTTTTTGTTGTTCTCATTTGGCAAGCCCTTCACTGCAACCTCAATAGCTTTAGAGCTATTTAATTTTGAGGCCACTATTCCTGATGTAACTGGAGCAGCTAAGGAAGTAACAGGAGTTCCAGAGTCATGCAGCTTCTTCTTGATCAAATCCAGGGCAGATGATGATCTTGGCCCTAAGGTTCTCAGAGTTGTGGCGTCATGTCCGCCTGTGTTAACAGCCGAAGCACTCAAAGTTGTTGGAGCAGATGCTTTTTCAATCGTGATGTTAGTACTAGGCATTGACATTAAATGATCTTTTGAAATGCCATCATCCTGCTTCTTTCTAAATTCTGTCACCTTATTAGGGATCTGCCAGCTGCTTACCTAGATGACAAAGCAAAAAGTAAGTACAATTTGTAAATGATATGAAAGCTATAGTGATGGACCAGAAAAAGGCAAAATGGGAAAGAAAGGTATGACAAAGCTGGACAGGTGGCAAGGTAGCAAAGAAAGAAGCAGATGGCACAATAAAGAGTTGACGGATGGCAGCAATGAAGGATTGATGGATGGCAATAAAAGGGTGACGTGTGTGATGAATTTGTTATGAATTAATTGGTTGGCGCAATGAAAGAGTGACGGGTGTGATGCATTTGTTAGAATTTGTGGGAAACGGAATTTAGCGCGGGAGCAGTAGCGTAGGATGGGATATGGAAAAATAGTAGAGTTGAATAAGAGGGACTGACCTTCGAAGTTCAGTGTTATGCTGAGTCTATTTTCATTTTCTGTTTGTTGTTTCTATTTTGTTATTTCCATTCCTGTTATTACGAACTCATTTTCATTAATATAGCTTTATTCCAGTTTCTTTCAATTAAGAGTATTGCTTGTGATTGAGTGATTGCTTGTACTTTTATTATTTGCTGTCAAACGTGAGTCTGGAAGGTTGGTGTTCATCAATTTGGTATCAGAGCTCGGCGATTGCGGGGCATGGTTGGTACAAAGATGGAGGGCAGCTTGGATAACGTAGAGAAGGATTTTGCTAGAGTGTCTGAAACAGTAAACTCAATGAGGGAAATCTTGATGGATATGTAGAATTGGATGCGAAAAAAAGACGAAGAGGAAGAAGAGCGATGAAGGAACTTATCTGGAAAATCGAGCAGGGGCAAGGAAAGCCAAAACAATCCAAAGCGACATAAGGAAACTAGAGGAAACCACGGTGGTGGATGAGCTGAGCACAAGCTTCACAGGGAAGGTGGGGAACATAATGAACACGAGGTTCATCGGGACACAGGAAACCACAGAGGAGAAGGATGGTACCAAAACAGACAAGCTTGGGGCCGCCGCGAGTGGGGAGGTCGGAAACTGGAGCTACCCATCTTCTCCGGCGAAGACTCGTATGGATGGATCTTTCATGTGGAGCACTATTTCACCATTAATAAGGTCAACGACAAACAAAGGGTGTCGGCGACGGCACTATGTATGGAGGGAGAAGCCCTCTATTGGTATCAATGGATGGAGACGCGAGGAGCAATGACAACGTGGTCGAAGTTTAAAGTCTCCCTTTGCTAGTGCTTTAGTGGAGCCTAGGAGGTTAGCCCGTTGGAGTTATTGATGGCAACACGGCAAACTAGGACGTGCTGGAGTATCTCCGCTGGTTTAAGGAGGCGGCAGCTTTAATAGTCAGGGAAAGAGAGGAGGTGCTCACCGCCGCTTTTCTTAATGGTTTAAAACCAAAAATCAAGGCTGAGATCCGATTGCAACAACCCGACATTTTCATCTGGCCCAATTCTCTGATCCAAGTAACTCATTTAGCCCAAAGGGTGGAAGAACAAAATTATGTAGTTAAAGAAGCCAGAAATGGGCTAGGCCGCCAAGGAAAGTGGGCTACACCAACTACTGGGCCAAGAACCTACACCTACCTAACCTGACCCAATGACCCTAACAAAAACCCAGCCCAATTGAGTCGACCTGTTCAACAACTCCAAACCCATCCAATTTCCAGCGAAATCCAAACGAAACTCAACCTAGCCCCAACTCATCCTCCTCTACCAACTTCCGGAAAAATTTTTCCCGGCAAGATTATCCTTATAAGAAGATGACCAAAACTAAGATCCAAAGGAAGAAGGATAAGGGATTGTGCTTCCGGTGTGACGCCAAGTAGTTGCCAGGCCACCGGTGTGGTGATAAGATGTTTCAGGTGTTGTTGATGGATGAAGAAGACCCAAAGGTAAACGAAATAGTCACTGAAGAAAAGCTGACCAAGGAAGAAGCCCCAAGCGCAGTTGAACTGTCAATCAATTCTGTAGTTAGAATACATGGGCCAAAAATGCTGAAATTAAGAAGAGAAATCAGGAACAGAGAGGTCATTGTGCTCCTTGATAGTGGAGCCTCCCATAATTTCATCAATAAGGAGATTGTAGAGAAGTTAAAAATTCCAGTATTTCAGACAAAGGCTTTCAGAGTCGGATTGTAGAGAAGCTAAAAACTGCTAAATTGTTTTTGACATGCTGCATTATAATATTGATGAATTTGAGATACGTATGACCCTTTTTTTTAAATATTTCACTTCACAGACATCTTTCGCAACCGTATCTTCTCAGATAACTCAAAAGTTGAGTAGCAACATTCTACTTTATGGAAAAAGATCATTGCATACTGTTGTGTGTGTGTGTATATATATATATATATATTATGTTGTTTCACTGCCTTGTGTTTGGGATTATTTGTAAAGTTTTTTTTTTTTTTTTTCTTTTTCAGCTTCAATTTTTTCTGAACTTTCAATTTAATTATTTAAAATTATATTTTAGGAATAGTGATGGTGGGGGTATATAGTATAAGGTAGTGAAATGTTAACTCTTTTATTATATCGAAAATGGAGAGAATGACATTTATGAAATTTATGGGGTGTCATAAATAAATAAAAGTAATTTTGAAATGATGCGTCTAAAGAAATGGAGATTATTTAGTCAATTAATAGGATGTCAATTGCTCCACTCTTGTAGAATAATTTCATCATTACCATTGTAATGCACTAATGCCCAATATCAAAACAAAAGTGCTGTAGGTCTTATTCTAACTTGATGCAAATTACGTTCGGCCCATGTGTTGTGTCTGGCTCACAATGCTTTACCCTTTTATTTCAGTTTCGTATAGAATTAGGGTGAGTTTGGAGTTGTAATTTCTCTAATAAGCACTTATTTTATAAGCTATATATGATCTCAAATGTCTTTGGTAACCACAATTTAAAAGTGATTACAAGATAAGTTGATTATTGAATATTCTATTTCATTAAATGATTACAAAGGTTGATTTTTGTAGCTTTTAGAATTTAAAAGTTGCTTTTGAAAAGTCNGCATTTCATTAGCCAATCTTTAATTGCAGCAACAAGTAATTAGGAAAATGACATTTGAAATTATTTAGCTTACATACCTGATTAATTAGTTCAAGGGCTCCTAGAAATCCTATTCCTGAATTTCGTTTTGCATACTGCAAGCATTGAACGAAATCAGAGGTTTTTATTGCAATATGTGGTTTAATAGTAGGTTAATGACCTTCTCCAGATATATCTCAAAGAACCTCTTTTTGGCCGCCTCAGGATCAAATCCCTTCACTCCTTTAACAGAAGCTTCGCCCCCTAAGAAGTTTGCCTCACCTATTACATTGTCATAGGTCATGTAACTATTAAAAGCTAAAATTACATATCAGAACTCCAATTTAATACAATAATAGAATGATCCATCACATTCAAATAGAAATTAGTTCTCTTTATATTTGAAAATTGTATCTTTGAAAGTAATATCAATCCCACATCACCTTTGCTTCCTCATTCAATTATAACAAGTTATCCACCTCCTTTTGTTTCATAAACAGAAAAACCATTGTTTATATTAATGTGAGCTCCAAGCCATTAAACACAGCCCATTACAATTCTTCAATTGCACATCAATATCATAGCCATGCAATTGAAATTAACAATTAATAATCAATTTAGCCAAAATCAAATTGATCATCATTCAATAAAATACTACAAAAGGATTACACATTGAATCACTTTATCAAATAAATTGCTAAAATGCAAAAGTAATTAGTGACTAAACTCTTACCAGTTCCCATGAAAGGGACAAAGTCCTCCACTGTAACTTCAACTCCCATTTCAGCAAAAACATCCACACCAGCCCTTCTGGAAGGCTCCTCACCAATTGATAAATGCAATCTAACACCAATAAAGTATGCTTAAAACTGTTTCTACCACGGAGAGCAATAGGGCCTTTAAGCAATTTTTTAGAAATGAGATCATTTACTAATACTTTTAAGACATCCAATCTATTAAAAAAAAAAAAAAAAAAGAAGAAGAAAAAAAAATTCTTCATTATTATTATCAAGCAATTTCTTCATCATTTATCATCATTTCTGAAGACTGAAATTCTAGAGAAGATCAGAAAAGTATTATCACTATTAACTTCCTTGTGGCTATATAATGTTTAACAACCCCAAAAAAAACTTCCAAATCCTACTAATTTGACAATGAAACTCTAATTGTTCATTCTTTTGGTATTAAAATATCAAAATCACTAACCATCCATTCTGCAACTTGACTACTAACATAAATTTCAGTCCCCAAGTCTATTGATGGCCAGTGCCTCTTTACAGGTTATGTACCAGGATCCTAATAGAAGTAAAGTGATTGAGATAATCTTCCAACATCAAGCTCCCAGGTCCTCTCTTCGTTGGGTATCCGTAGTCGCCCAAAACCGGGTGTGGCAGAATCTGCAGGATTTCCTGAGGTTGAGGATATCTAAATGCATCACAGAGATTGAATGGCTCCTCAGGATACTCAGCATTTCCTGGAGAACAGTAAACATGATGAGCATCATATGGGAAGTTTTCCACATCTGTCCAATCATCAGGAATATCCTACTTCAGGATTTATAATCATCTCACTATAACGAGTAACATCTGAAGTCACACTCCCATCACAAGGCTGGCCATTGTTCTTCCAACAACTTCCGTCTGCGAAAAACAATTAATTAATTAATTGAAAAAACCGCATTACAATGAAACGAAAGAGAGAGAGAAAGACATGCAAGCCATTTACGGTGGCCCTGAAGGCCCTCCTTATTGAGAACCTTTACCGTGGCAGTGAGAGATTTGAGAGGGAGAGAGGAATTGGAGAGATTTGTTAGGGTTAAGAGAGAGAGAGAATTGGAGAGATTTGAAGAAGTATAACGTTGGAGAAGATCAAATAAGATAACATTGCCGTTGTAATGTTTTTTGAAATTTAAAAATATTCAAATAAATCTCCTTTTTGAATTTATCTCCAAAAAAAGTGTATTTTTGTAAAAGTGTTTCATTGAAAACCTTCAAGAATCCTTTCTTCTGTTATTAAATTCTTATTTTATTTTTTTTTATTATTTTTTTTTTTTTTTTTGCATCAAGAAATAAATAGTTTCAGATTTATCTCTCATCCTATAATGAAATAATCAAAGAAACATTTGCCCATGTGCGATTCTTGACAATGCTTTTTGCCCACACTAGGCCATCTCTAAAACACATTGATGGGTTTCATCACCTTCCAGCCTCCACCCACATCCAAAGACTTTGAAGAGCTCCTTAGCAACAAAGGGTCCCTTTGCAAGCCCATGATCCACCTTTTCGACCAGCTCACCAAGAATAACACACCCCGACCCAAAAATTTCAAGCTTTCCCTGACTTGGATCCAAGATAGCAGGACCCAGTCCTTTCTTCATCTTCCTCAACCTTACCCACCCCCAATTTTGGCATTCCTTTGCCATCATCTCTGACATTTCTCAAGGGAGGGCTACCAAATCGATCTCGCCCATTCTCCTCATCAACAACCATTACCTAACGGCTAAAAGAGAAGATGACTACAATGAAACAACTGAAAAAAGGGTCAGAGAGAAAGGAAGTTTAAGGGTACTAAAGTTTTAGATTTAATGATTGAGTTAGGCCCTTTAGGTCCTTTGGATGTTGAGTTCTTGTGTTTCCTTCTTTTATTTTTTGTATTTTTTTTTTTTTCTTATTCTTTCTTTTCAATGTTTAAGTTTTAGATTTGGTAAATGCCAAATGTCTTATCTCCCATAGAAAAGTAGTACATCTAGTGAACAATTTAATGCTTTTGCTATGGCTTCCCATGATGCATAATAATAAAAGAATTTATATTGTACTATGACTATTTGAAGAAAATGAATTCTTGATCAAAGCACCCACCGCGACAGGAAAGCGGACAAGAGACACAGCACCCATTGCAGCAGGAATGTAGCCACCCTACCAAAACGGATTACCCTATCTCAGGGGTCAAATGATTAAAAGAACATATTGGCTTTGAATTTAATTAAAAGGTCATATAGTTTTTTAGTCTTTATTAAATGGTCTTATTTTTAATTAAGACAAACTAATAACAATTAAACACTAATGATGGCTTAATTAAGATAAATGTAGTATTATATAATCTTTTAAAAATTATAATATGTCCCCAAAAACCTGAAATTCTTGCAAACAAACCCAAACATAACATCTTCTTCTTCTTCTTCTTCTTCTTCTTCTTCCTCCCGCCATTAACGCATCCCTCCCTTGGTTGATGTTTATTCTAAGCTTCATCTACATCTTCTTCTTCCTCTGCATCTTCTTCTTCCTCTACATCTTTTTCTTCCTCCTTCCTTTATATCTTTATCTTCCAGCCATTAACACTATCTTCTTCCTCTGCCATTAACATCTTCTCCGCCACAGATCTGCCCCCTCCTCCTCCTGACATTTCGTCCAGGTATGTGTATCTCCTCTTTCCATTTTATATTTCGATTTACAAAGATTTAATGATGGATTGGGTTTGAATTATGATTTTGATTTAGTTGTTGGGTTGTGTTTGATGTAATGCAAGTTGAAAGAAGTGAAATTTGTTAAATATTTTCTTGCATTGTAGGTAGCTGGGGGTGGTAGCAC